TTAATAAACACCCAAAAACAAACGTGGACCTAGAACTGAGACTTGCGACACACCACATTCGACTTGTATGGGGTCTGAGAAAGAGCTCCGAACTCTGACCACTAATTATTGTTGAAGTAGAAAGTTGGCAAACGAGCTTAAAAGAAGCTCGCCAATCTCGTAATGCTGGAGCTTGGAGAGTAGCATCCAATGGTCTAGATGATCGAAAGTCATCGAAAAATCCAGGTAGATCACATCAACACCTTCACCAGCGTCAGCTGTCTCGGTCCAACTACTAGGTGCGATTAGTAAGTTCATTGCAGATTACCGCTGTCGACGGAAACCGTGCAGCTCAGGGGTGATGGTGTTACAGTTTTCCAGATAGCAGACCAGTGCATCGGCAACTATGAATTCCATGTCGTTGGGGAGTATAGGAAGAAGCGATACTGGGCGGTAGTTGGAGGGATCAGTTCTGCCTCCACCTATGTGCATCTGGGTTGTTATGCCAAGCTTCCACATGGCGGAAACTTGGTTCTGGTCGAAGCAGCGCTGGAAAAATTGAGCTGCGGTTTCGAGTCTTACCAAGGGTCCGATGGAATGCGCACTGCCGATGATTCCCGAAAGGATGAAACGCGCGTACAGTGCTTTTCCGGGCTTGTGGCGGCTGTCTGAGTGAGCCTAGATGGAATGCGCACTGCTGATGATTCCCGAAAGGATGAAACGCGCGTACAGTGCTTTTCCGGGCTTGTGGCGGCTGTCTGAGTGAGCCTAGATGTGACGAAATTCTACCTATACCATTCAACTCCCCCTACTACTCTTCTGTAAAATTGAGCTTGTTGTTTCATTAGCGTGGCCACTTGACCTATTGACCTGTAACATTATTATCCAATTGTTCATGTTGTGACTTGCAACAGTCAAATTACGTTCCCATAAAAAGCTAAGCCAATTTTGTAACGATTCACCTGGCCTGAAGAAGCTCTTGTGTCAAGGGCGAAACTTTGCCACAATAAAACCCTTGCAAAACCGATTTGTATTCAAACCTTCTGAAATCAAAGGTCTTGCTAGTTGGCTTAAAGATGCTTCCAGTGCATCTGGCCGAATCGTATCGAAACCCTGCGAGCTGTGTAGAGAAGTCAGCTTTTGCAGTGCAGCTTCCGCGGTAAAAGTGATGTGGGTTAGTCCTAGCGAGGAGAAGACAAAGTTTGGAAGATCGCTTGGTGACAAGACCCTCTGAAACGTGGGGGCATATTGCATTCGCAGCTTGTTTGCTGCTGTCACAGCCGTTCTTGTTGGACCATCAGCTGTCCTGAGTGGGCGAAATCCTTGCCTCACATTTCCTAGGCTATTGACATGCTTGTACAGCGGTTTGTGGTTTGTAATGAAAGATTTTGCGATGTTCCGCTGATATGCAGCTTTGTCTTCTCTGTGCAGTTGAGTGCAGTGGTTGCTTTGGTCTACGCAGTTATCCCAATTTTCTGGTGCTGGTGCTTCTTTTTATACTCGCCATGCTGCGTTGCCTACTGTCATCCACGTTCGAGTTTTGCTGCTAACGCAATAAACATATTTACAAGTATTGCAAACTTTTATCTCTGAAGCCTCTGCAATTAACTGACTGAATTTCTTGACGAACTCGAAGCAGGCGATTTCCTGGGGTTCTACGGCAAGGAATGACCAAGTTGTAGCTCTGACGAGCTGGGCAAATCGACCGTAGCTTGTGATGGTTCGCACAGTCTCATCGTTCTTATTCCGATATTCCGCATAGCAGAAGAAGTTGAAACTGATCATTGCATGATCACTGCGACCCAACTGGCAGTCTAAAACCAACATATCAATCATATGCTCCTCTTTGGTAAGCACCAGATCTAGCACAGACGGCCTGTTTTCCGTTTTGAACCGAGTGGACAAAGTGATGCGATTGTAAAGAGGAACAGTAATTACGAGACCATGTAGATTGGCTTTGAATTGTTCCCCGATCGCGGCCGTAGTTTGTAAACAATGTGCGTTGAAATCACCCATGAGAAGTACATGAGTCTACTTTCGCTGTAAACTGCATGTTAAAACAGCCGTACCTTGGCAGTCGATTTGGGTTGTAGAGTTAGGGGGCAGTCCACCAAGAAAATAAGGCAAGCGTATCTGCATGTTAACAGCAAGTGGTACCAAAGAGAGTCGGGGAACTGCAAGTCTTAATCCTCCACAGCTTTGTACTGTAAGTCGCTTCGGTACTCCAGGATTACCCCTCCTTCATTTGTGAGCCTATCGTTCCGGATCAGCGACATGCCCGGTAGCAAAACTTCAGCGTCCGTCATTCCCCTGTGCAACCACGTCTCGGTGATACTAATGACATCATAAAACGCGAAAGCTTGGCGATCTTTCAGTTCGGCAAGTTTAGTAAAAAGACTCTGAGCGTTCGTATACAAGCAGGCCAGTTTCTCGGTCTCTAGGAGCCTATAGAGGGCTAAAAAGGTCAAATGTGGGAGAATGCTGACCGATGGCAGGTCGGCATTTACTCATTTTATGATGGAATAATGGTACCTCATCTAAAAATTGATTCAGCCAAGGTGCGTCCGAATCTTCGTTTAGACCTACTTCAGCGTCAATAAAGGAGCAGTCAAGTGGAACTCCTGTATCATCGTCGGTAGGTTTACTGCTTCGGGTGCTTCAATAGTTGAACTTTGCAAAGCCTCTGAGATTTCTAATGGACGTTCCAAGGGAAGTATTTTCCGATTTCACCACCATCGATTCGAAGCATCCGTTGCTTGTTGCTACAAGTTTAAGGATCCTAGAGCCGCATCTTCTATAATTTGGTGAGAGCGGCATCCTGATGAGTGATAACGACACAATATTATCCAAAGAACGTGTTTCAGGAATGAACAGCCACCGTTTTCAAACGTGCTTTCCGGTCTATTGAACATCGTTAGAAGGATGTTCTGGCACGCCATGTATGAAGGTTTTGTTTAGGCGGTCGTGCTTGCTTTGTCTCTCTTCGGTGTTCCTTTTTGCTTATCGTGCGCTCCAACAGACACCAGGATAGATGCGTATCCCACAGGATCCGCGTTTTAGCGTTCTTGCAAAGAGCAAAAGATTTTCTACGTCGGTGGAGGATTCTAGTGTTACTCAAATAAGCCTGGGTTCTCCATAGTGTGGCGAGTTCGGATGACCAGTAATTAGTAAGAGATTTATGGGCTGGGCTTTGACACTCATCAGCACGCATAATGAGTTCCATTGGTTAAACTCAATGCAAGCGAACATATGTTTTCAATAACTCCTCTTCAAACTTGTATAGATATATATGGAAAAAATACAAAATGTCTGATACAACGTAAAGATTGGTAAGACAAATTCAGTTCACAGTCACTGAACAAGCACAATCGCTATCCGTTAGGTCACAAATGCGAAGTACACTCCATTTCGTGTGCCGGATGTCGCCGTTCGGGCTGGCCAGGGCAGTTTTAACATCTGAACGAGCCGTTTCTGAACACACAATTTCCGCTCGTACGATCGATTTGCGATGGCCTCCGCAGATTCAAGCAAAGGCTTACAAACGCACTTTGATTGTCTGGTACCTGATAGATCACTTGGAATGACTCAGCTAAGTTGGTGGCGTGGCCAGTGTCGGCGAGATGCGTGATTATGGATGAGTCGGTTTGTTTTAGACAAGCGGTCATAAGCCAAGCCGGAAGGTGTTCTTTCACCCTTTCAGACAGGCACCTCGTTTTTCGGCCTATGTACTTTGTCCCACAGGAACAGGAGAAAGAATAAATCCAAAAAATTGGTTTGGACGGTCCCAATGTCCAGAAAAGTTGTGGGCGACAGAACACCGCGTGCCCAAGTTGCGAACTGCTCTTGTGCCTTGCAGTAGTAGACTTTCTGGGGATACTGGCCATTTGTATGACAGGATATTAGACTTGTCAACGTCAAACGACATCTACTATAGTAGGCACCTGGGTTTAAGTGCAGATAAGTCTTCCTAAACGAGATGTACCGCGGTCTGTGAACTTGCACTTTCTTGGGAGTAGATTACTTTAATGTTATCCTCTAAAAGAAAAGTAGCAACACGTCTTATTCTTTGGCACACATCGTCTACATATAGGAGAAACGGAAGTAGTTTTATGACACTCCCTTGTATTACCCCACTGGTGCCAGTTTTCGGTTTTGAGAAATGGCCATCGAGGCGCACCATCTGTTGTCTGCCAACAGATATGAAGACATCCAAGAAAACATTACCTCCTCAACGCCTGTATTTTCTAATCTTTTGAGTATCTGACAAGCACTCTACCCAAGACTTTTACACATTCCATAGGAGGACCATAACATTGGTTGCGTTGTCTATGTTCTACGCCTTGTGGTTTGCGAAGCTTGTCCAGCATATTGTGTAGGATAAATTTGCGAATAACGTGCTGTGATTTACTGATAATGTTTTACCTATACCCGAGGTCAAACATTTCGTATTTAAACATTCTTTCCATCTGTCTAGATGCGACAGGTGTTGGGTTGGTGGGACGAAAACTTTTAACCTCGTAACCATATGTATAACCTCAAGTCATGCAGCAAATTGTGACCGCACAATGTTCAAATGTCGGGTCAGTAGTAGGTTAGGTTGAGAGAAACGAATGAAGCACAAGGTGGAAAAGTTCTGTGCAGACAAAATCGGGGCATTTTACAGATTGATTGTACTAAATTGTCCAATAACACGAACACACGGTCACATTTGCAGGTATAAAGTAACTGCAGTAATTGAGGTTGGACTAGGCGAAAAGCTAGTGATGTAAATGTAAAGAGTGTATATATGTCGAATTATAATTTTGACTCATAAAGCTACCTACAGACTTTAAAAGTGGCCGTTCTTTTATACACACCGGTGGCTCACCTCTACGAAGCACTGTGTAGTGAGGCACTGAAATTTACTTGATCTTGTGGCAGCCAGCTTCAATGTACAGGGTTGACAAAATCTGTGGTGTTCCAATTTCTTGCTGTTGATGACATACCTTAACTCACTCGGGAAATCTCTTGATCCTTTATAGTACCGATAATCCCAGACTTCCTGCTAGATCAGCGAAGAAAAAACAAGACACTTATCTTGCAAGAAGTGCTGGAGGAAATGAATAACTCTTGTGAAGGCCTGTTTGCACCATCATTCAAGAAGGATGAGTCCAGACTACCTATATTCGCCTCCCGTGGACACTCGCCGCACCAACACGTAGCAGTCATGATGGAGCAGATTTACGACAGCGACGCAGCCAAGGAATTCAATTTGGAGAGTTTCTTGACATTACTGGAGAAGGTGAACCTCAGCACACCAACGCAACCCATCGCCTATGTGGCTCGAATCCGTGGTTGCCGGCAGAACGCGACAAACTACATTCGAGAATTACGTAAGAAAACAGTCGGGCAAGAACATATGCAAATCGGACTGATGTTCGCCTCCAAGGCAGTTGTCCAGCTGCTCGTTAACCCGATGGTTGGCCCCCTTACCAACAGGTAAGTGACCTCTCCGTTCGGTATGGGAGGGTTTGTGAGAGCTGTGGACACTTCGAAAGCCTTCTACTCAACTATGCAGATGCGAAAGTCCTAGTATTCCTGGTATTATTTCTAACTGCAAAGTGATCATGTACACAGCAATTTAGGTGGTCGGCCGACGTTTTTTCCTGTGGGGTCACGAGTAGACGTAGAGCACATTATGCGCTATCCTTTCACCTTAAGTATATAGTGGGTAAATAATTGGTATTGAAGTAGTGACACTGCTACACGCAAAATTACTCTCGGAACCCACAGGTGGCTCCAGTGTTCATTTGTTGAGTTGATCAACGAGTTAGGCAAACTGATTGCAAACGCTGCGTTACCGCTCGAAGGGATGAAATAAGTGCAAAGACTATCAGTTTCCTTGCAGATACTAGTCGAAGGCAAATCATGCGTGAAGAATGCAACTGTGTATCACCTTCAGTTTGCATTACTCGACAAGTCGCACGTTCCTTCAAGCCATCTTAACAGAACCACTCTAGTAGTTTTGAACTCAAAAACTGGGACAGGCCTAGCACTCAGACGGTTAAGCCAAAAATTTCACGGCGTAGCTCTCGCAGTAATCAAACGTTCTTAAATACTTGGTAACACCTTTGGATAAATTGACTACTGTAGGAATGGATTGGGATATATTTCTAAAAATGCTTTTCCGGTTATCATATTCACCCGGAAAATAAGAAGTAGCCTGTCTGGATATAAACACGGACGTCTAAGATTCCCCATCAGACAGTGCATCACAGCGAAAAGAGTACGAATAACACGTCGTCTCATAGCCATTACCTTACGCAATTTCAGCCCAGTACTTCTGTGTGAACGCAGAGTTGGTTCTGTAACATAAATTCTCTTGGGTTCGGAAGTCCACGTACAGTAGTGGTTTGTTTCCACATCAACAAAACTGAAATTAATAGTTTGTTATTTTCTACTTGTTGCAGCCGACAGCTTCATACTCAAACAAGTTGTATTAATTTTATTGCGTAAAATAAATTTTCCAGCAAACGGTGGCTGTGAAATATTTGTAAAGCCAATTCTTTTAATAGGTATTACAGAAGAGTTGCAAAAATGACCTGCTTTCTTTTCGCTCTCACTTACAGGATCGGATACAGCATCCCGATGTTTAGTGGCTTTATGATCATGTTCACCTCAACCATTGGTAAGTTCTCAACTGGACAAATTTTTGACCACGGCAGTCAGGAATCGTTGGTTAGATTTGAACACCTATAAAACAAGATGGTCGCACACTGTTGATATCATTTTGTTTTGTCTAAGGAAGAAAAGATAAAACATGGTCTGTCTTTTCTTCTTCTAACTACATTTATTATGATGTACCTTGAATTATCTGCTGAAAACAAAATAAAATTACTTCAGACGGTGACCACTTTTCATGGAAGTGATCACCGACAGAGAGTGCAGCAATAAGGATTGTTAAATCAAATGTGCAGGTTTTGCATATTTCGGGAAAGTATAAAATAAGAAACGTATGTTGAGGCTTTGATGATTATTTCGAAAAAGGGAGAAAAGTAGGACCAACCTGGCTGAAGGTGTACGAGAGTAGGACGTCCGTGGCCTAACTGAGTCCGGACTCATCGGAATTACGTCGAGTTCACTTTGCATGGTGAAGGTATCCGCTGAAAACATTGGCCTTTGGATTCCCCCTCGTTATAACAACTTGCTAACGGCAGCGCTCGTTTCAGAGGACCAAACACAATATCGTTTAAATGCCACCCATCGTTCTTTCGATATGTATTTATGAAATTTTTATATACTTAATTAGGTGAGGCACGGCTCAGATAAACTGGTCCGATCATAAGGTACAAGAGAAATGCAGAATGAGTATACAAACTGCTGTACAAAACCCTTGTGGTTCAAATTCCAATAATTATGGCGCCATTGCTTTCCTTTCAATATTCATCGGAATCCACGAATATTGCAAATCGTTCAGATACCTTTAGGCGGATTGTTGTGATAAGAAAGCAAAATAACAACGTTTTAGGAGGTGAGTGGCAATTTGTACATAGCAAATGTAATTTAAAATTCCTACTATTGGTATATGACAATAATTTATAAACAATGAAAGTGTGTGAGCCAACTTGATAACACGACAAACGACGCATCTAATACAAGAGATAATAATTGATAACACAGGGCAAATAGGATTGCGTACGAAAATCGGGTGGTTTATTTGCACCTCATCAACTATTCATCCTTTCAGTAGGTCCATGTCTTGCAGGCACTCATGGCATTCACGTAGCTATGTGTTAGAAAGGAAACACCATATGTAGGCTAAGGAAAAACTTGCTTATCCAACCCAGCAATGTGTGCATGTTTTCATATACCATCAGTGGGTCTTGAAGTTAAGTAAAAGTACAGTAAGAACTAGTGTAGATAAGGAAAAATCGAAGATAAATCCAATCCGTCCATTTGATCGATATGTCCATTTTTCTTAGGTCACCAACGGGCCATCAATCTGAGTAACAAGAAGAATATAACAGAATTGACTAAGAGAAAATCAGATAGATCCTATTTATCCAGCATATCGATGTAACACATTTTTCATAGACCACCGTTGGGTCATCAAGTGGAGTAATACCGAAGGATGTGACAAAGTAGGAGGAAGCAATGAGAGACAAAGCTGTTAGCTGGCAAGAAAACTCATGATAAGCGAACACTGCATTTCACGTTGTGTCGAAAAGCCCTTCTCGCCATTGTTATACCAATATATTGCGAATGCCGCAAGTACTTAGATGTTATCAGACCCCTTCTAGTATACCCATTCGTCTGCGCAACTGACAAGAAGCAGTTTTTTAAGTTTACTAAGTGTTGAGTACTCTTTTAGTTGTCTTTTAAGTCTTCGAATCGGAGGTACTTCTGATGACTTGAGGCAATCTATTCGATAGCGTGGGATATTTGTGCATAATGGTGTTGTAACATAGGTGTGTGGAGCAACGAGGTAGTTTTATCACATGGTCCTTATTTCTTAGGTCGGACGGTGAAGATTCTTGGAATACTGGCGCATAGTAACTAGTGCTGATGGATAATTTTGAATAATAAACATAAAGTCAGCCTGAATTTTCGAAACCATAGCGTTTCGGGTATTAACAAATGACATCTATCATTATAGGCGAGCCCAAAGACGCAACCCAGGATTCTTTTGTTATAGACCTATGTGTAGCTTCGATTGCGCCCTTGTCGCATCTTCTAATGCTACTAAGAGTGGTGGAAATAGTATTCTAATAGTGGTCGAGCGTACAGTATGAATGACAGGAGCTTAACAGCGCTTGATATAAACAAGTGGCCTATCATTCAAATAGTCCATCGTGTTTTAGCCACCGTGTGCTCAACATTCTTTAAAATTCAACGAACCTAAGTAACAGAGAACTACATCACGTATCCATTCACGTAAAGCGAGTGGGATTCCATGCAAAATAAACATTCAGGTGGAACCAAGCATTCATAGCACATAATGTTGTCTTTAGATGTTTAAAATTTCATGGAAAACCCGACACACCAGTTTTCTAACGAAACTGTCACTTTTGATCGCAGACATAAAAGACGGACATTGATAATCAGCGGCGTACAAAATTCTTATACCATTTGCGAACAAATATGGTCTACCATGACTTATTGCAAGGGAAAGATTATATATATATATGTATAAAGAAGGGGGGCGAGTAAACTACCTTGTAGCAAGCCACGAGCAATATCTCTTGTTTCCGGAAGACAAACATCTATCTTGACTGTCTGCTTTCGAGCAGTGAGGTAAGCTTCTAAGTAGGATAGTAGTGAGCCTGCGATTCCACAAAGACGGTTTATGTATAAGCTTTCTGTGTGAAACTCTTTCCAAGCCTTTTTGAAGCTCCATGCGAAGTACAATACAAGTCTTGCCAGCATCTGTCGACTTCGTTAATTGATCAAAGAAATTTAGCTAGCAAGTGACGTTTAAAGACTTTTGAAGAAATACGTACTGCAAATGTGACCAACGGTTTTTTGATGTTGGGAATTTAGCGAGCACATTTCTGACTAGGCGCTCCGTGATTCTGGAAACTATAGCAGTGTGATTTATGAGCCGGTAGTTTTTAGCCTTTTGTCTAGGCCTGGCTGTATGACGGGGTGCCACTATCGTCAGTTTCCACTGATCGGGGTAAAATCCAGTAGTCAGTGATGTAGTACACAAGTTCAGTAGTAAGCGTGGGACATCATCTCCACCGAACTTTAAAAGAACTGGATTAAACGCAACTACTACAAATTGTCACCCTGAATAACGATTCTGTCCCAGAGATTTCAAATTGGGTTCGATGATGTAGCATACTTTTTCACGAGGGATTAAGCTAGTGTGATCGATAGAAACCAATCGTGAAAAAGTATGTATATGTGTTAAATAGATAAGAATATTAGAGATGTAGGGTATCATAACTTTGCTAACTTGATGAAGTTTCTCCTTCTGCAGTGTTTGCTTTCGGAAGCAGCTACGGAATTCTATTTGTGGCCCGCGCCCTTCAAGGAGTAGGCTCTGCTTGTTCTAGCGTGTCTGGTGAGTCTTGTATCATTAAGGTGATCTGTAATATGTTGTTGTCCATGGCAGTCAATATGTTAACTTGGATGTGTAATGTATTCGCACATAGTGGCGACAGATTTTACACCGAACGCAAATCGAGCAACAATCAACATAATTAAATGTTTTAGACTGAGCTACGAGGAAAAGAAGCAAGCCCACAATATTGAGAAATGGGTTGATGGGTTGTCGAAACATGAATCGATTTGCACTACTATGGTAAAGTCTAACTTCTTAATTGCGACTCACAAAAAGGAGCACTTAAATGGTGACCTAAACGCCAGGTGTACTATTGTTAGCAATGCTTCAGAAAGAGTGAACACCAATCTTAAAGTATGCAGTGCACAGCTGCCTAAGATAGTAAACAGTTTCAGCAGGATTTTCCAGTTTAACAATGCTCGTATATAATGTTGTGGTAGATTTTACTGGTTTGATGGCAAAGCTAGATAGCTATCATTAACATTTTCGCACACATTGCATAGGATGCAGATATAAGCCGGTTTTTCAATAGTGTTTACTTCACAAAATAATCCGGCTTCTGTAATGCTTAACCACTTGCAATAGAGTATAAACAATATCCTACATGCAAGTTTGCAGTTGATATTCCTACTATTCTTCTAAACTTTTAGGTATGGGAATGCTGGCCACTGTCTACACAGATGACAAGGAGCGCAGTCACGCTTTCAGCTGGGCACTCAGCGGAATCGCCCTTGGCGTGCTTGGTAATTTATTTAACTTCATCACTTGTCACAGAGTTCTCGGTATCCTGCATAAATTTTCGGCCGAGTTTGGGTAATGGTCGGGAGACTCGGAAATAATGCCAAGACACTCATCAATTACTGTTTGTGAGTTGAACCCACGTCAGAAAGCGACTCATATGTCAGTATTACCCGTGTTTTTGCCACTTGGGAAGTTTGCTAATAAAGGCTTGCGAGTAAGGTCTATGGATGGCAACATGGATGATACTGTCAGGCCCCTGAAAGATTTTAGATTGTATCAAGGTGCCGCTTAACAGTAACTTAGCTTCTACGGCTTCGTGCTGCCTGCATCCGCTTCAAGAAAACTATCAGTACAAATAATCACGCAACTTGGTTCGTATATTTGGCGAGTGACGTTCTGCTTCTGACAAAAAAGCGTAGTTGGGTCAAGGGATACACCAGCTCTACTAGCCGATCACTTATAAACCTCAAAATAATGCGTTTTGAGCATATATCAAGACGTTGGACCATGTGACTCATCCATAGGTCATTGAATACGTATCACAAGCTTGTATTTGCCACAATGCGTGTCGTATATCATATGAGCTTGAGACCAAGCCTTGAGTACAGTCACTGCATCCCGAGCGCCCCGTCACCCTTGCAGGTACCATGATCCCAACCTCTGATTCCTTTTGGGACTTGGGAATTACGTATTCTTTCAGTTTCTCTGAGCATGTCCTTTAACTAGTTGCAAAGCCAGACAACTATCCGTCTACTTCGATAGAACCTTACCTGAAGCACAATACGAACCAGTCAATAGCATAGTAAGATCTGTTCTGGAGTATTGTACCAGCATTGACAGCCAAATAAGAAGAAAAAACAGTATTGAAAAATTTCCAAGGATCATTTACTAAGCTAGTCATGGGACACTCCTCTACCCTAAGTTATCATGAGAATTGGCACTACCTCTGAATGGATCCCTTTTTGTTGTGATGATGGTAGAACAACCTCCTTCTGTACTACATTATAAGTCAGCGGGTCTTCACTAACAGCACCGCGCGTGGATGGCAAAGATAGGTTATAAACCTCAGCCGCAATAGGAGGCTAGCTACTACTTTCAAAACCTGAAATTCATAAAAGCTGTTTAACCTTCTTCCTGGTAAGATGCACCAAACTGAATAATCAACTACCACTACGGGTGCACACTTGTGTAAACCTAGTCACTTTCCAAACCACGCTGGAAACCTTGCTCGTTATACCGAATGTCTTAAAGACACATAAATCATAGAAATCTCGCGAAACATTAACAGAACCTGGCCTAAACTACTTATGAACAGCTAGAAGGTTACAGCCAACATATTTTTTCTTCCTCTTTGCTCATACAATGAAACTTGCGCCTGTACCGCATTCGTCTCCCATTGAGTGCTTCCGAGTTTCGCTACGGAAATTTGAAAACAGTAGCAACAACATTCGGTCTGAAGAAACGAGCTGCAAACGATCAGGTTGCTGGTGAGGCTAAACAAACACTAAAGTTGCTCTGGTAAACAACGGCGGTTGAGAAAATTTATGACCTGAAATTTTAGCTTGTGTTAAGGCGCGGCAATAATTACATAACATCTGCGTTCAAATAATCGCTCCTAACTAAAGGTCGTATACCACTTGTAGAGAAATATATAAATTTATTTTTCAGTTTACATTAATTTCGGCGTGCTGATTACCAACTCGTACATCAAACTATCGATTTGAAACCGGGTTTCCGTACTTCATTGTAGTTGATCAGAATTCATGTTATCCATTCTATATTCCCACAGTCGGTCCTCCATTCGGAGGTATGGGCTACCAATTCATTAACAAAGAAGCCCCGTTTCTCATACTTGCCGCTTTGGCTCTCTTTGATGGAGGTGAGTGGTTTGAGTAAATGCCTCCGTTTGTATATGAGTCAAGAAAAGCAATTTCATTGCCAGAACCTCGAGCGCCGGGTACTTCCAGGAAAAACCGAGCTATGAATCTCGTTTGTTCATCGGTTTCTGCCAGGGTGTAGAACTGCTTGACACTTCAGAAGGCTTAAAAGAGCTGTAAATTGTCCTCACCCATCAGCCGTTCAAAGCGCGCAGACAGAGCTCGGGAACAGAATTTTCTACTTTTATGTACTTCGGTGCAACTACAAAACTTATCAGCGTAGCATGACCCATCCTATATGGATGAGTGAGGGTCATCGTTTGAAACGATTGAAGTTCGTACACCAAGCGGATATACTCAATCTAGTCGGTTGAAGAGTAGAATGAAGATGCACAGTTATGAGATAGAATCCTCATTTACACTCGGAAAATGGCTTTATCTCTCAATATTTAAAGGGAATTCTTCTTCATTTACTCAGTTAGGTGTCAATAAAATAAACCGGATGATTAAACCAGAATAAACACAAGCACAGTTTAAAAGGAAGTAGGAAGCCTATCACTTTCGAAACATAAACAATGAACACAAACTAAGGAGCGGTTGCTTACGTTTTCCTTAACAAAAGAGAAAACAGCCACTGCTCATTATAAATGTGTCGAATGAGATCCGATCTTTCCACCTGTCGCGAAGAGACTTGGTTTCGGATACAATGAATTGGTAATCCACGTTTTCGATCACCGCACTACGCAGTTATCTCATTTTTAAACATATGCAAAACAGTAAATTTCTAACTAAAATTCCTGCCATTGCGAAGGTAGCAAACTGCGAACGACACACTGTGAATCTCCACTACATACTCGTATTCAGTAGCGGTTGAAAGGTCCAATAATGGCTTATCTGTCTCAGTGCGCGAAGCACACTAAAACATGAGTAATCTTCACCTGGTGTATCCACATTGTTTCTCATTTCAGCTCTACAATTGATCGCACTCAAACCGGCCGTTCGACCTGAAGCAGAGAGAGGAAGTTCTCTGGCGAAATTGCTACGTGATCCTTATATCCTAATAGCAGCAGGTTAGTTGTGGTACACAGATAACTATCATTTTCTTATCGAATCAGCCATTAGAGTCTTGCAGCAACGCTTTTGAGGGATTTTGTCTTCTGCATCTGAGATAGCGAGTATGAAGGATAAATTTGAGTCCAGAAGAGATACAAGGCTAGGACAGCTTGACCAAAAACACTGGCAGCACGACCAATGAAGTGTATGGACTCACCGCTTATATTTCCAATGTGACCATGCCCTACTTTGGTAACTTATGAGTGTCTGAAGAATGAGCAATGAACAATGACTTTAAACCGATTAAGGAATGATGCATTGCAGGCTCTGTTGGGCTGTCTGTTGGGGTTAACGAAAAATGTTAGAAAAGTACTTTTACAGTCACAAGAATAGAAATTTCGTTCGTAATTCAGTAGTGCTACACTCTAACTCCAAGTGGATCGCGTCAAGGCCTACTCCAGAGTCAGCAGACTCGGTCCAACTACTCCGTGCTGATAGTAAATTTGTTGGATACGCCCGCTGCTGACGAAGTCTGTGTGGCTCAGGCGTAATTATATTGTATTTTCTAGGTAGAGCACCAACGCATCGTCAATGATGGGTTCCATGACCATGTACCGTTCAAAGGGAGCAGAGATATTTGGCGGCAGCTCGAAGACTCAGTCCTGCTTCCGCCTTGTGAAACAGTTATTATTTTAAACTTATACATGACAGGAACCTGGTCCTAGTGCAAGCAGCGTTGAAGAGGCTGGGCCAAAGCTTTTGTCAGTTGTCGTGTTGCTGAGCTCAGTGACTCCGGACGAATGTTATAGACACCAGCAGAGCTGCACTTGAACGGAGACGTCAGCTTTTGCAAGATAGTTTCCGCAGCAAAAGTCTCAGCAGCGAAGCAACAAAAGCTGGAAGATCGTCTGGTTTTAAGACTCACTGAAATGTAGAGGCATAATGTGTCCACTACGCGTTTGTTGTTTCCGTAGCTATCCTTGTTAAGTAATCATCCGTCCGGAGCGGAGAAAATCCGTACCTCACCTTTCGAACGCCAGAGACGTAATTGCGCAGCAGTTTTTGGTTGACGCTGGAAGCTTTTGTCAAGTTCGGCTGATGTGCAACCTTGTCTTCTCTGGGCGGTTGAGTGCAGTGTTTAGGTTAGGCTACGTAGTTGCTCTAATTATTTGGGAGTTGGCGATCATATATATACGCACCATGCTGCGTTGAGTACAGCCATCAATTTCGCGTTCTGCTCCCTACGTAACAAACTGCTTTAAGTGCATAGCAAACTTTGTCACTAAAGTATCCGTGAACCCTCGGTTGAAGTTATTGACGAATTTCAGCCTGGTGACCGCCGGGGAGTCTTCGGTCAGGAACGACCAGATGGTGACACTGATAAACTTGGCTAAGCGGCCGTAGCGTGTAATGGCGCGCACCATCTCAGGGCTCTCCTTTCGATATTCCGGATAGCAGCTAAAGTTTCCCATGATGACTGCATAATGATTGAGGCCGCAAAAGTAGTGCACAACCAATATATCAATCATATGTTCCTCCTTGGTGAACACAGGATCTAACACAGATGGTCTGTTACCTGTTCTGAAACTAGTGGGCCAAATAATGTGATTGTAAAGCGGAACACTGGCACCGGGCTCGTACAGATCAGCTTTGAGTTGTTCTCGGATCGTGGCTGGGATTCCTAAACGAAGCACGTTGAAATCACCCATGGTGCGGATGTGAGTGTATTCTCCATTCAGAGCGAATCTTAGAGCACTCGTAAGTTGACAATCCATTTTGTGTTTAGTGTCTGTGGGGGCGGCACTCCAAGGCTATAAGACTGGTGTCTCTGCCTCTTAACCGCAGGTGGCACCAAAGAGAGTCGAGAAACTGTGAGTCTAAATCCTCCACGGCCCCGCACTGAAAGTCGCTTCAGTAATACTGATTTACCCCTCCTCCTTTTGCTAGTTTGTCTCCTCGGACAAGCGACATGTTAGGCATTGAGGCTTCAGCGTCCGTCATTCCAGCGTGTAATCATGTCCCAGTGACAATGAAGGTTTCGTATGGTTTAAAAAATTGGCGATCTACTAGTTCGGCCGGCAAAATGGAATAGCCTCGAGGATCGCTATAAATACAGACTAACTTCTGTGTCTCTAGGAGTTCATAGAGGGCTAAACTAGTCAGGCGTGGGAGAATGCCGGTCGATGAAACAGTGATTTTCTATGGGTTAAAAACCTAAAGCTTAGCAGATCCTGTAGGATGGTCATGGCAAATACTGCAAATTATCGACAAATCGTCAGCAAAAGCATGTTCACACCGGTAGAACTACTGCGGTATACGTACTGTTATCTGCAAATCCACCGTAAGTCCATAAGGAAGCATGACAAATTGGGTGTTGGTAATAGTCGCGTCACCTGCTGGTGAACAGATACAGGAGGTGAAAAAGGTGGAACCCATTCTGGGAGCATTCAGTCAATAAATCACTAAGACCTTCATGTTTAGCCAAGGGAATGTGTCATGTGACATGGTGCACAGAACTGAGTACATGGTCAACTCGCATTTGAACTCTACCAACGTGCGAGCGCAGATAACGAAATCAGATAGGGCATTCTACGCTTGGGAAGCGCGTAAGGAAGAGAAATTCCGATGGCATTCCAAAGGATTGCAATGGTCTGTCAGTTTGAGGTGGTGGCATCGCAGCTTACTATTGTGACTGACCTCTAGAAAATGGCAGCAGGTGGTTGCAATCTCTCAGGATCACGTAACTCAAAACACGGTCCCCACGCAATCGCCTGCATTGTCCGCTAATGACCCTGAGCACTTCTAGCCTCTGTTCACATGACAAATGATGCAAACCTGTAACATTTTTGCTTGTCCGGAGTTGGAGTATCTCTAAGGCGGTGAGAGCTCTCCTCAGCTACGGCTGCCAGACTTGCATTGCGTAGGTCGAATAATCCGAATGTACTCTTTAGGAGGCCCACGTATGGGATGACCCTTCTTGACGTTTCTTTAACCTGATTCGAGCATCCAAGGTTGGCCTGAACCAAAATGCCCATCTGCTTTCTGCCAGATGTTTGTAGCAGCTGATTGCACAGTTCGTAGCAGCACGCCGGCTGGTGCCGTAATCGCAACACTGTACATTTATTCAACTTAAACCGAAGTAAACAATAATAAAAATAAAATAATAATAACATATATTTCTCTTGACGAGAGAAACTGTGTTCATAACGGCACAGATCAATTCGTACTGAAGAATCCATGCTCTTGCATGGGTGACATGTGTAGGTGGAGTATTGGGATATACTTTTCATGTAGTAACATTCTGGCGGATGGCTGAGGCCAAAGCCTAGTTTTGAAAACATTGGTCTTTATATGTTTTGGGCCCCTCTTGGAATAGCTCATCGAGGGATTTTTCCCATGTGAATATAGAGATTATAGTAGTCACACCATGGTAATTGGCCAGTCTACTTCCAAATGTTGTCACATTGTCATATGACCTGAGTGTTATTGGTAGTTTATTCCATAGATAACTATATCTGACCAGGAAGAAATTAGAGCGGATCTTCGTTCTAGCCCGTGGTATATTCAGTGTAAAATCTTTGTTGCGAAGCGCTCGAGTTGAGCAATGCTGTAAATTGGATGTAGGCAGGTTGGAATAGGTCTTTTTGTGTAGCACGTCTAAAAGCAGCAACAAGTTGTGCTTCAATCGCCGAATCCAAAATGGTTCGAGATGAAGTTCATTGCAACGTTCTCGATAACTCATTGCAGTGCTTACCAATCAGATGTTTAGTAAAGGACCGCTGCAGGTGCCCCACAGCAATTCTCTCACCCTTTCAGGATTGACCATGCGCAACTCCTATCCAAATCGCCTTGATTTGGCGTAGTGATCGCCCTCCACACCTTAATGTCATCGTTAGCAAGCAGACAGTTCAACATTATGAGGTGTATGATATCGTTGGTATATTTCAAAAATACCCGTGGCCCGAGTACCGATCTTGGTGGTAATCTGCGTCTGGAAGCTGATATGAATTCACACACGCGCCAGTGTAGGAGAAAGCTTCTTCTTCTGTACTTGAAAAAAGCTGGTCCCCATCAAGGACAGAAGCAATGTATTACAGATGTTTCACGCTCTTGTATTATGTTAGATATGTATGTCCAAGTGGAGAGGTCAAGTGGTATGGAGCAGGGGTAACAAGGTAATGAAAGTACATATGTGTTCTTGGATTTTTTATATTACTACGACTTGTTTTCTTTCCTGAACCCTACCAAAGCTGATGGAATTTTCCAATGCTCATGTTCCGTTCAGTGCTTTCGGGGACGGCGTCAATGGCAAAGGTTGACGAAGAAATGACCGAAAATAACAAAAACGAAAAGGTTATGTGTAGTCGGTATATCGAAAGAGCAACAGAGAACCTTTAATAAAAGCTTAGTAAAAATGGTATAGCATTTTGTTTAACTCTTTTGGAATTTCTTTGACAAAAGTTGACATTGTCCTGAATTCAGTTCGCAGTAAAAGCATGCAGTTTGACTATAAGAATAACATACATTGAAATTTTATATGAATATAACAGTAGGATTAGCCACATATGTTTTGATGCAGATAGCAAGTGTAATAGAAAACATGCAACTGTGAACTGAGGTCTACCTATATGCTACTTCTTATGATATGCAGTAATTAATAAGCATTAGAAAGTAGTAAGAGTTGAAAAAGACTTCCACTATAAGTATTTTTCCGCATATCTATGCGGTTAAATTTAAAAGTAATACAAGTAGGGAGATTGGAGATAGCAGCTCGATTTGATTTCCCTTTCGACTCTCATGTGGACAGGAGAACCGCGAAGAAGCTAAACTAAGAAGGAAAAGGGCTCAGTTTGTTTTTCTTTTTGGCTTCCTTGGGGACAAGAGCGCCGCAAGGTGGGGATCACAGAATAAACATAGAAGGAAAAGCATCAAATAGTAGAAAGAGGAGTTTGATTTGTTTTTCCTCTCCAAACCGCATGTGGACATTTATGCTGAAAGAAGGAATGGTCAAGTGAAA